ACAACAGCAGCTCGAACAGCAAAATAAACAAGAGAGACTACAGCAGTGGTTGGAGGAGAAAGAAAATAAACAAGAAGAGAGACTACAGCAGTGGTTGAAGGAGAATGAAAATAAACGAGAAGAAAAATTACAGCAGTTGTTAGAAGAGAAAGAAAATAAACAAGAAGAGAAATTACAGCAGTTGTTAGAAGAGAAAGAAAATAAACAAGAAGAGAAATTACAGCAGTTGTTGGAGGAAAAAGAAAAGAAACTGGAACAAGAAAGGAAACAAGAAGTACAAACGGAAAACATTAGTAAATTTAAAAGCGAATTAGATACATTAAAGGGTGATTTTTTGTCTTTTACACAAGGAGGATACATTTACCATCGACTTAATCAGCCCCAGATAATGACAAGCCCCTTCCAGACCCCGCAGCTAAACCCTAATGCAGACATATTCAGTCCCGTTAGAAGCCATATCCCAGATATGAATGTCAGTATTAGGAGTGATCCAGTTCGAAGGAAGCCACTGGAATACGATGGGAAAGCACCGTGGGAAGCATATAGAGCACAATTTGAGCTACTGGCAGAGATGAACGGATGGACAGAGGAGCAGAAAGCTGTATATCTGACAACGAGCTTGAAGGGACAACCACTGGAAATACTTGGACAGTTGTCAGCAGACGACAGGCACAACTATAGAGCACTGGTGTCGGCTCTAGAACTCAGGTATGGAACCCAAAATCAGTCAGAAGTCTACAGGGCTAGGTTTAGGCGAGAGTCCATGCTAAAGGGGAGAGCCTGCAAGAGCTGGCACAGGACTTGGAAAGTATGGCACACAAGGCCTACCCAACTGCACCACCCGATCCTTTGCTAACTAATGATAGCAGGAAATACCGAGTATGTGTTTAGATACCACACTAAGGAATATTGATTTATATTTTGTTTATTAAAGTCCTTAACAGAATGTACACCTATATGGCTTGGAATTATTATGGAGTAATTTTGCTTTGGTGTTTAAGACGGAAAACAGTATAAACTCTATACAAAGATCTATGATACTTATAACTTTTAGTATAAAAAATCATTGACCATATTTCTTTATTTTAATTTTGCTCTTTTGATAACTTCAGGTTGATTTAAAAACATTTATGATGCCCTTAAAACCACAATGAAAAAAAAACGACGACACAGAACAGTATAATGCAAAAGTTAAGGTACCAGAAAATCTAAAGCTGTAGGGAAAATGTCCTTTACAGATATTCAGTTTCTTCTTTATTCCCTTAAAAACGGGATGTATAAATACTCATTGCTAATCACTGATATTACTAAAGGAGAAAAATGTTTCAAACATGACACCTTAGAACAATGCAGTGACGCTCAAATTTTACGAAGGCTTACCAATTTGTGTTGATATTAGACTTATGTCATTTCAAATAGGGTAAAATATTACACAAGCATTCAATTATAAGAGTTCGCATTGACTATTGAGAAAATCTTAGTTCATAGCAGTATGGTGTGTGTCGTAGTGAGTATTTTCATTCGTATCAGGCTTATTGTACAACGGCTCAGAAACTACTTAATAAATGTGTAAAATAAAGCAAAATAAATTATATATATACATATATGTATAAATATATTGTTACGATATCGGAGGTCACGTGACTCTAGTAACACGCCACGCGCTTCTAGAACGTTCATGAAGCGTAGGGAGACTATTAGATATGGGGTAGTCTTGTATATATAAGACCGGCCAAGAAGCAACGGTAATGTAATGAGTAATTGAACTGAGGACAGAGAGAGAGACATATTGTTGAGTCGAGCACGTGAGACGTTCGTTGTGAATTATAGCGTGACTGTGAAAATTAAGTGTATCGCAAAGTTGTATTCAGAAAGAATAAACCAGTTTTATTTAAGAAAGGACTTGTATCGGTAAAGTTTCTTCGGAAATAATTTTTACGGAAAATTAACTAACGAACGGACGCGTAACAAATTGGTGTCAGAAGTGGGATGGGACCCAACGTTCCTGTGTGGACTTCAGGACTCTTAACAGTATAACCGAAAAAGAATCATACCACTGCCAAGAATTGATGATACTATTGATGCCTTAAGTGGAGCCAGGTGGTTTTCAACTCTGGACTTAAAGTCAGGTTTCCATCAAGTAAAAATGGCTGAAGCAGATAGACCTAAGACAGCATTTAGTTATGGCCAAGATCTCTGGCAATACCGAGTGATGCCATTCGGCCTAGTAACGCTCCAGCAACATTTGAGAGGCTGATGGAACGGGTATTGGAAGGCCTACAATGGAGGATAGCCCTAGTGTACCTGGACGATGTCATTGTATTTGCAACAACTTTGGATGAGGAAATGTCCTGGCTAGAGGAAGTATTCAAGCGTTTGAAAGCAGCAAACCTCAAACTCAATCCCAAGAAATGTCATTTGTTCCAGAAAGAGGTGCTTTACTTAGGGCACATTGTAAGTAAGCATGATGTGCAAACTGATCCTGACAAGGTGAAAGCATTGCGTGATTGGCCAACACCAGACAATGTGTGAGAGTTAAGAAGTTTCTTGGGACTCTGTACTTACTACCGCAAGTTGTTGAAGGACTTTGCAACTATAGCTGCTCCACTACATGATTTGACTAAAAAAGGCCAGAAGTTTGAATGGACAGTTTCTTGCCAGAATTCTTTCAAGACGTTGAAGGAAAAATTGGCCTCTGCTCCACTTTTAAGGCTTCCAGATCCCTCACTGCCGTACATACTGGATTGTGATGCTAGTAATGTCGGAACTGGAGAAGTGTTGTCTCAGAAAGTGGGCGAAAACGAACATATGGTGGCCTACTTGAACAGGGTTTTAAGTAGACCAGAGAGGAACTACTGTATAACACGGAGGGAACTCCTTGCTATAGTAAAGAGTCTGACATATGTCCATCCT